ATTACTTTTTACCATTTAAAGCAAAAAAATTTAACTGGAGCTGCATTGCCTTTCTAGAATATAAAAGATTTCAAATTCAGTTAACTATTTAGTTCACTTATCTAGTTCCAATTAACAACGCGTCATTTTAAGAGAGACATTTCAATCAGAACATACGTTTAGACGGCTGTGATATTTCGTGGGAGTAATTCCCATTTATCCATTGACGGAGGATGATTCTCCCAGTCAGGCCGCAGAGATCAATTCCAGTTGGAGACAACTTTGGTACTAAACTTGATATGGATGTATAAACTGATCCTCTGATCTTTAGGATTTTCTCAGTAAAGAAATTAGCAAATTCATTGCAGGCCCTGGTGGAGTCGAGTTCAGGAGCCACAGGCACAGACAGAACGTTGAGTTTTCTGTGAGCCCCACATGAAGTTCATTGTTCTGTATTACAGATGCACAGTGTTTACACCATAGATATACATATAAGAGAAAAACTTATATTATGTTATTATATTGTTATATTATATACACTTTGGACCACGTCATCAAATAGGAGGAGTTTCAGCTGCGTGAAGCTGACACCTCACTGACGTGAAAAAATCTCAGCAAATAGACTGGTTAACGCTTCTTCGGTGCAGATCTGTGCACTTAAAATGGCATTTTGTAAAAATGAAAAATAAATGAAATAAAAGATCACACATGCTGCTGTTTTAGAGATATTAAAGATTTTTTTTTGAGGTCACTCAGAGGTCGACTTATTCCCTATTAAGCTTCAAATTAAATTGAAATGAACTAGCCTACTTGATTTGTGTAGGTAAAACTGTCATTTGTGCTGATTTGGTTTTTGAGATATAATAATTTTTAATTTTAGCCAATGACATCGCCACCCCAGCAGATGTAATTGCTGCGCATGTTTCCTGATATGAAGTTATTGTTTTTCCTGTGTAAATCACCAGCCTACTCAGATCCTTTGTTTGGGAGCTGTCCTTATCCCTGGCAACCCCATAGCATTTCCTGTCAAAGTCTCAATAGCTGTTGGCATTTCACAAAAAAAGCACAGATGAAACTTGACATCACAGGCTGCTACTAAATGGTTTTCCATAAAAAAAAACGTTTGAATCACCTTGGGGAGACTATCAAGTTTTGGAAAATCTCCAAAAGCACAGAAAAAAAAGAGTTTGCTTTTGTTCCTCTGGATTACGGTCAGACTCTGCTGTACTTCCATGTAAATCTACCCCCACAGAATGCACTGATGCTGGGCAATGGGCAGTGACAGACTAGGGTCTGTGCTGGAGGTAAGTGAGGACAACGAGCAGTGCTTCTAGGACTAAATTAAAACATCTTTTTATAAACCCACCTAAAAACCACTCTCAAAAAACTCTCTACCTTTTTTTTTAACAGTTACAACATTTTTTTAAAAATATTTTCCTCTGTATTCCATTCGAGGTGAAAAAAGCGTCCCCTATAAGCAGTCCCTGATTGGTTGCCTTGTCACAGTGTCATAGAAAAGTTTAGCTCCTTTGAACTTCAGCGATCACTGCTCTGCTCTCTCCATGCGGTGCTGCTATTTGACAACACCTCAGTTTTGTCAAGTTGCAGGAGGTGCGGGCAGAGCAGTTAACGCCCTCACCACATGGGATTTACCGCTGCCCGCTTCCGCTCCCTTCCCACACAGATTTCATAGGAAGTCGTATTTGCCGCACACTCCCCATCTGGTCTGAACACACCATAACAGTTGCAGTTGAAATTTATTTTTTAAATGACCTAAAATAAAAAGTAAAAAAAAAAACATGAGAAACAGGCAAACTTGCTGTCAGACTGCTTTTTTTTATTGAAACCTCTTTCAAAGTTTAATTTCCGGATTGCATTTTTTTTCATATTAGTTTACAAATCAGTTTACAAAAATAAGATGAATCTATATAGTTTTCTTTTTTCCATTTACAAAAAATCTTTACCTCCAATAATAATGGAACAGAATTCACTCTATACATATCTGAATAGGTAGTAATACTAGTCCTAGTGTCCTTTTTGGGAAAAAGAAACATCTGAACAGAAATCTTAGACTCTTTGCCTATTAAAACATTTGAGTTCATAAAACTAAAATCCTCAAATAGTAGTTAGTGGAATGTTTATAATTGGAGTAAATAATTATCCTGATTCAACTGAAATCTAAAGGAGGAACTTAAATAACAGGTAATTTCTAATAACTTGTGATTTTAAGTTTATCAACTTAATTTTTTTAAGGTAACTAATAGTGTCAAAATATTTCAGTTCTGGTATTTTTTTTGTGTGTGTAAAGTGTATCAGAACATGAGCTGTAAGTATTTTTGTGTTACTTCCAGAGAGACGGGACTCTGAGTGCAGGTCGCAGCGCCTACACCAACTACTGTGGGATTCTGCAGCAGTTTGTTCAAGCTTACATCTCCAAGCAACAGGTGCAACTAACACTTTCTTTCAGGGCTGCTGTTAACACTTTTTTTCTTTTTTAACCCCACTCTTACATTTTTCCTGACCAGAGCTCTGCTCCATGGAAAGGGGCGTTGTGTGGTGAGGCCCAGACTCTGCTTGAACTCTACGCTACGCAAAACGACCTCTCTCCTTTTCTCCAAGACCTGGCGTAAGCACACTCTTTTCCATTTATAGACTATTGTAAAAGTAAAGCACATTGCAAAACCCTTGTAATAAACCCTTGTAATAATTAAGGATTTATAAATGGAGACCACTTTGATTTATTTGGTCTACATGCACTCAAAGTCAAATCAGAATAAAAATTTAAAAACATTCCCACCTTTACCAACATAATCTTAGTCTTAGTGTTAAAGAAGGATGGTCCACTGAAGGAAAAATTCCTGGCCTTACCCCTTTTACCTTCCAGAAGTCAACTTCTTGATCCAATCAGGTCCTACAACCTTGTGCTCTAACATCAGGGACATGCACAGACATTTTGAAGGGCAGGAAAGAAAAAAAAATGACACACACAATATAACGCGATCTCATCACTATAGAGGGCACTTTAGCATGCATTTGGGCTCTGGTGAGGGAACTATAGTATGTGTTGTGGCTCCTGAGAGTACATTGTAGCACGAGTTTTAGCTCCAGAAAGGTCACTCTAGCATGTGTTTTAGTTCCCCAAATGGCACTTTAGCATGCATTTTGGTACCCAATAGGGCAAATGAGGGGACCTTAGAGTTCATTTTGGCTCCTGAGAGGACACTTTAACACACGTTTTAGATCCTAAGAGGACACTTTAGCACAAGTTTTGGCTCCCGAGAGGGCGCTTGAGGGCACTTTAGGACACATATTGCCTGCCTAGAGGGCACTTTACCATGTGTTTTTCAAAAATTGGGCCACAGAAGGGGCAATCGCCACTGATTTAGGGATGTCAAATCTTAGGCTCTAGGACCAATTGTGTATTTCAGGAGGATTTTATGGGACCTGAAGCTGCAGTATTTACACCAGTGAAATACACACCAATGTAAGGCCTTTCAAACAAGATGAAGATCAATTAAAATCTTATTAAAATGGTAAATATAAGATACATCTTAGGGTATCATGTCTATCATGCAGGCCTTTACATCTGCCCTACAGACTTGTTACCCGTTTCCCTCTGGCTGGTTGAGTAGATTTTTAGGCTCCATCCCTACTTACCCTCCTCTGCAGTTCTGAAATGCTTTGAGTGAACTCAGGAAAATCTATGAGTTAAAAATTGTACAGAAAAAGCATCTTTTCTCCACTCCTCTAAGGTTCAACCACTGAGAATTAGAACTGATCCCTGTTTCAACCTCAACTTCTGCATACACTGAGGACTTTTACATCACATGATCTTATAGGAAGGCCTGTACATCATGACAGCAGTTTTTTATGCCTAATTTTTTTTTATCTTTAGTACAGTTCTTGTTTATTGCTTTAAGGACAGTGTTAATTTTTTAGTTAAAGAAGGTTTGTTTGAAGTACTTACTAGCAGGCAACATTTTACCAAGTGTTTGCTGCAGTTGGGATCGTTTAAAGGCTCTGTCACATCAGAGCTGTTTAAATGACAGAATCTGTTTTTCTGGATGTAAAGAGTTCTTGCATGAATAGATCAACAGATTGCCTGCTTCATTTGTAGAAGTTCAACTAGCCTGGTTACAGATCAAACATGTAAACTTTGGTCTAGCTGAAAACAAGGGTCAGGGTTAACTTGCAAATGAAGTATGGTTTTGGAAATGTTATTTATGAACATGATTGTGATAAAACTATTTTTATATTGGGTCTGTGGTCCATTACACATGTTTGCTCTTTATCTTTTCTCTTTACTGCTGCATTTGTCTGATACATAAAAAGAAACCTGCTCATAACACGGAGGCTCTTAAACTAATTAAACAAAATAGTTATTCCTGGCACAAGCACACATTTCATATATCTGGCAAAGCATTTTTCAATACACAACCAACCTTTCATCCATCCTATGTATCATCTTAATATTATAAATGATGTCACACCTTCATTTTTCGTAGGATGAGCATTTTGGAAAACTGAAATTGAAAACTCATTAAGAGTATCTCTCTTTCTGCCCTAGGCTATACATAACCAAAAAGACAATTAGATATAAGTTCATATTGTCATGCATCAGCGCAGACTTGTCCGTTCTCCAGTCTAACAGCTATCCCAGCATGCACTGTGGAAGCAGCAGCTTCAAATGGAGCGCTCGCAGAGCTAAGAGTATTAAAGGTGCAGTAGGAGATCTTTTCTAACGCATTTTTACCTTAAAGATCTCCCCAAAGCTGCTTAGCAAGCAGTGAAATAGAAGGTCTAGAAGTGAAACTAAAATAAATGGTCCCCGCTACAGTGTGAAATCATTGAATAACCCCAACCAATCACAAAAGAAGGTCCGTTGTACACGATTGGTTTCTGACACGTCAATCATGGTGGTGCGTGTACCCTAACACATGAATGAATTTACCCCCAATGGTCGAGCAGGACGCTCACACCTATGGTGACCAGATTTGGGTTTCCCCGCCTTACCGGGCAGGCGGGGGGAAGCACGGGGCCGCCAGTGTCCAGGCTACCGTCACCGGGTCAGGTTCGGTCGCTCTGTCCCCAGCCCCGGAGCTCATGACTCTGCCGCACTGTAGTCGACCAAAATCCTGGATGGATTTAAAATTCCCCCCGGACACTTTTTTAGGTATGAAAAGTGGGACATGTCCGGGGAAAAAAGGACATCTGGTCACCCTATTCACACCTAAAGCAGCAAGAGCAGCAAAAACGCACGTGCTGTGATCAGTGGGTAAAAACTAGTTTGAATCTATTTTGAAGTGAGAAAGTCCACCTGAAAACATCATTAGTGCAGTCAGTTCATCTAGATTACCATCCTGGCTTCAAATATTATTTCTGTCAGAGCTGCCCAGACCCGCGTACACAGGCGGTGCTCTTTGTTAGGAATCCCATTCAAAACTTCACTTGTTCGATGCTGCTGTTCTATATGTTTTAAGATAATTTAAGGCTGATTTAATCCGTCATTTAAAAAAAATGTCCAATGTTGGGAGGACCGTGGCAACCAGCGGACCTTCGAGGCCATCCTTAGCCAGGCCTAACATTAGCCCGTCTGCAGCAGCCATCTCTCTGCATAGCCGTGTGTGAAGTACCTCTGGCTCTGATGGCTAGTTTTTAGTTTTATTTGGCCAAATATTCATTTGATTTGTGTTTATCTGACTTTGTTAATTATTATCCCCCCACTAAATAGCAAAGTAAGATTTATTATTATCTAGAGACTATTAATAACAGAAGGTGAAATGCAACTCCAGACGACCTCAGTGTGTGGTGTCGACACGAGTACGCTTCTGTTCCAATTTACTCATATTTATGCTGCGTGCTCACATTCTCCATGCTTTCCTGTGTTCTTCTCAAGATCATACTTGGCGAGGACATGAGCCCCTACTCACGTTCTTTTGAATTGAGAAACAGCCTTTCTGTTTTAGCTGCGTCAGATGATGGGAATCCCTCCGTGTTCTGAAAAGCCGTTAGCTTGCCTCCCACGTGGAAATTTCTCCCTGATTCTTCATCTAACACACTGACTACTCATAAGTACCCCTCGAAACCACACTTGGTGGGGAGGATTAAAAAGAATGCACCATGCAGCTGTGGACCATACACTTATTTATAGGTAGATTTTAGATACCACACCACAATTCTTTCACGAACATATCTTTATAAAAGAACTTTCGACAACACTGTCAACCACATAGCTTAGTTGACATAACAATATATATGAGCTTTCTGTCATCTCTCTGTTCTAAACAAGTGTGATTGTGTTTACCTCTGCCAGGAAGTGGGTGGCTTACAGTAAACTGTACCAGAGCTTAGAGGTGGACTCGTCTGTGCTGTTCCAGCAGCTCACCAGCATAGAGTACCACTGGCATCAGCAGGAGCTGCCCTACCAGCAGGTATACACCCACGACTAACCGCCAGGGACCAAACAATATGACTTGGCGGTTACATTTGAACTCATCTGACATTTGAATGCATTTCAGAGACACATAATATCTCAATTACCTGGACTCAGTTTCTCCCTTTTCAAGACACAAATTAAAACCCGATGGTGTGAACAACATTTAAATCAATTGAAGCTGATTTGAAACTATCTGCATGAGTAACTTTTGTTTTCTGTGAAAACTTAGATTAAACTAGAAGTTAAGATTTCAGCACGGATGGTTATTGTGTAAAGTGTTGGTTTTTTGTTAATAGAAACAGGAACTTGGAGACTCTTTACACGGTTTCCTGCAGTACGGACTCTGTTTGGTTTCCAAATACAGAGACATCTTCCCCCCTACTCCCAGTGCGACTCCAAAATTACACACATTACTAAGGTAATGGTCAGAAAATAAACAGAGGTGCTTCAATTATGAGTAGTTATTTTATAATATGCTTTTTTTTCATGTCATTAATCCAGGATCTTGGTCCAGATCTGTAAGACTCAGGCTTTTCAGAAACTGAATCCAGCCCACTTTGAGCTTCATGATGGTGTCTATGATGCCATCCAGGTGAGCCATCTTTGAAATTATAATTGTAGATTACCATTCTCCTTTTATGTAAACACATCATCTTGAAATATAACTTTTATATCAGACAGGTACCGAGGAGTGGTTTACAATCAAAAAGGGCTTGCACCAGCCAATGACTAAGGTAGAGTCACAATAATTTACAAAGATTTATTGATAAAGATCATAATGATCAGAATGATTTTATCAGCACTATTTTTATGTATTTCTGTTGTAATACAGCCTTGTATGTAAAAGTTTAACCATTCTATGCAAGTAGATAGGATGATATTTTTTTTACTTATATTCAGTTTTTAGTTTTTCACATATATTGTATTTTTTAAGTATTCACACCCCTAGACGTTTCCACATTTCATGGTTTAAAACCATAATCTCCATATCACAGAACATCTACTCAATGTTCTGTGATAAACCAACACAAATTAATCCCAACTGCAAGGAAGAGGTGAAATAACACTCTCCTTTTTTTGCAAATAAAATGTTTTCCTTTACAATGTTTTTAATTCTGATTTATAATAACATGGTTGTATCTATAGAGTACAATTTATGCTATCCATAATGTAATCAGAGACACTAGGGTGGGAATGTGGTTTAATTGGATGATTCTGCTGCAATACAGGACCTGACAGAGATCGGGAGCGCCCTCTCTAGGCTGATTGCAGAAGTACAGGATGACATAAAACACAACAAGGATGTGTGGAACAGAGTTTTTGTCAGGTAAAACCAGCAACGGAACATTTCCTGCCAAAGTAGCTTTTTATAAAAACACAGGGACTTTTACCCCATAAACTACATAGACTCCTGTACTTGTATTCAGTGATTAAACCCGATATGAGTAAAGTGTTTCATTTAATCTGTTACCCTCTCTGTAGTGCTGTGCAGGTCGATGTTTTCACTGTTGTCTATCAGAAATTTGACACCCTGGTAAGTTGCTACTGATAGGTTCATGCCCTTCAACATGAAATCCCTCTTTATTAATCACCTCAAATTAACGTTTTTTTGTTTATTGCTCTCCATAGATTGCAAAGGAAGTGAAAGAAACCTTAGCCATTATGGAGGGCCAAATGGAGCTGAACCTCGCCAAAAGCCTGTTCCCAGTCTATCTGAGCTTGCAGGCCATCCACAAAGACAAGGCCTTCCTGCAGAAAAGGTCAAAATTGTTGCAGCCTGTTTTTAATATGGTGTATTTATTTATTTTTTATCTAACCTACCAGCCGCTGTTAGATTCATTTCTTTTTTGGCTTATTAATGCTTAGTCTTAGTGATCATTAAGCATGCTTCAGTAAAACAACTATTTACAGTACCTTGCAGAAATACTCTGATCTATAATTAACTCATGAACATTTTGTTATCCACAAACTATGGTACTTTTTTTGTCTGTATTATTGTTTTTTTTTTTTTGCAAATATGAAATCTGTTAGCACACATTGCTGATTGGTCAGTTGATGACCAGCCTCTCAGTTGGTTGCAGTGGATACAGGGAAATACGGAAGACCTGAAAGGCAACTGGGACAAAAAAAAACATGGTTTTTTTTTTCTTTTTCTTTTGAGTTGTGTTAGTGGTGAGCAAAAAAAAAGACTTAGAAATCTAAACAAAGATTCATTTTTTCTTTCAGCAGTATTTTGTTTGTATGTTTAATTTTAATTTAATTTTTTTCTCACTTGCCATTCAGGGCTTCCGTAGTATCAGAGTATAGGGGAAGGAAAAAAAGAAACATAAAACAGATTTTTACTCTTAGTTTATTACTAGGGGCTTTTTAGTTTTTTTTTAGGAATGATGCTATTATGGTGGCTATAGCTCGATAAATACAATAAGTTAAAACAAAATTCATTGATACCAATAAAATGGAATGCTGTCAGCAGAATGCACAGAAAACACTTTTAACATGTGATGTGAAAGGTGAAGAACCTGCTTGTATTTTCAGGGGCTTACTCCAGCTGACAGACTTTCATGAGGGTTTCAGGGATGCTCTGCCATACTGGCTCAACCAGGCGTTCACCACCACTCAGGACCGGGTGGAGAGGGCTGTGCAGGTGGACCAGGTAACACGTCCAACATGTCTTCCTAGAGTAGGTTCATATTTTAAAGGAGGGCCTTACTCAGGATGCCATTCATGTAAAAAACACCACTGTTTCCAACTGTAGCAATAGAATCCAATAGTGGCCTCCATGTTTTAGCCAAACCACACAAAGCTCTAAAACTAAAGCCATTGTTCACTCAGCTCCAGCCGCTGCAAACTGGTGTCGTCCCCATAAAGCACAGCTCCTCTGCTGTGGACCTGGTAGCGTGTATCCAGCCGATCTGCCAGCTGTGGGAGCAGCTGTCTTGGCCTGATCCTGAAGAGGCCTTCATGCTCATGGTGAAACTCACCGAGGTACAGACTGCATCTCCTAACACGACTTTGTTCTTCTACTGATTCGATTGCTACAACTAAAGAGCAACTGTTTATGTTTTCAGGATGTGTGTAAGATTGTAGTGAACTACTGTCATCTCTTGAAGGAGAGGGTCCGGGTTCTGTCTGAGAACTCGGACCACAGCAGTGCCATCAACATGGTAGGCACATGCTCACTTAGAAACCTTTCCTGCCAAGTTTCATGTTTCTGAGTTGTTGTTTTTTTTCTCTTGTTCACAGCTGTGTGTTGTAGTGAACGACTTGGAGCACTTACGCTTGGTCCTGACCCGGCTTCCTACTCAGCTCAACTGGGAGGGGCTTCGGGTTCGCACTCAGAGCGTCATTGGCCAAAGCCAGTTTGAAAACACTCTGCATTCGCAGCTGCAGCAGGCCAAGAGCATCCTCTGCAAAGAGATACGATCAGCGCTGGACACACTTGGAAAACAGGTATAACAAAAGTATTCATACCCCTTGAACTTAAAGCCAACTTACAAACACCAACTTCTGCGTAATTTGGGTTTTTTTTTTTTTTAATAAACCAACAAAAAGCTGTTGGTACCTTTGAAGTCAAAGGAAAACTGCCCAGGTTTAGCAGAAGCCAATTATTTGCCGTATCCTCCTAAAATCTGTTTGCGCTTCATCCTGATTGAACCTTATCCCAAGACAGCAAGGTAGTGGCAGCGTAATGCCGTGGGGTAATAATTTTTAAGTTGTAACAGGGTCCTCACCAAAATTTAAGGATCATGATTTTCATAGATATCACCTTGAGCATTTTGTTTCTAAGGTGATGCAAGGTGTTGGCAGCATCATGCTGTGGAGGTATTTTTCTTCAGCTATTAAAGAGAATCCTAAGGTTCTGAGTTTGAGCTCCACTCCCACTGACTGCCACTCTGGGTCCCTGAGCAAAGACCCTTAACCCCACACTGCTCCCCAATGGGATGGGTTAAATGCAGAGAGTTAATTTTTATTGCTCTGTACCTGTGACAGTGTAATGATAATAAAAGCTGAAAAAAATCTGTTTACTGTTTGAGATTTTATTGGGGAATAGATTCACCTTGCAGCACGGTGAGTTAAGATGGTCTAGTCAAAGTCCAGTTTAATAAAATATTGACTTCAAAGGGTTTAATACAAACACAGTTTGTGGTTTAATTAGTAAAATTTGAAAACTAAGAGGGGTGCCAATACTTTTGCAGACAAGCTGGCTTGTTTTTATTCTTTGTTTCCTGAAATGTTGAAAACATGTTGATAAAGTTCTGTGTTTGATCTCAGCTTAACACAGACATTGAGACTCTGGTCAGAAGCATGTCGACCAGGCGGAGGATTCCCTCCAAGTCCACAGAGGATGTGAGTGTTCCTCATGACCTCACTTTGCTTATCTTATCTAACGCTAACCCTGGATGCAAACAGCTTCTGTTCTCCCTTCATCTTCCCTCTCTGCTCTGCTTTCAGGCTGCAGCCCCTCTGATGCGCTACCTTGAACAGGAGCTTCAATACATGAATGAAAACCTGGTTCAAGAGAACTTTAACAGGTGCTCCTCACTGCCAAATGAGAAAAATGTCTTCTATCGCTTTAAATATTAAATGATGCCTCATTTTCATTTTCTTTCTGACCAGCCTTCTGACTCCGTTGTGGCAAAACTCAGTGAAAATCCTCTATCAGGTTGCTACCCAGCATTCACAGCAAGAAGGGCTCATGGTGTTCTGCCAGAGGCTTCTCTATACGCTGCAGGTTGGTCCACTCATCTGACTGTATCTCATTTAAGGTTTTAAGGTAACAAATGACTGAATTCCTGTTAGCCATGTTTTATATTTAGACTTAGACTTAGATTTAGACTTAGACCATTTTTAATGTCATTTTGTAAACACTGAGTGTATACAAAATGACATTTCGTCTTGTACTGTTTTCAGAACGTTTCCATTCCATAAAGTGCAGTAGTAATCAAATGTAAACAGTGCGGGAGAAAAAACATGGTACAAAAAAGGCTTTGATATGGAAGTTCAGAGCATTATTACAATAATATAAAGATACAGCAGATTTTAGGAGCGCTGTCCAAGACTTTCGTGTCTGTGTTTTTGCTGGAAGGTAAACAGAACATATCAGCATACAGGTTAGCATGAACAGAGTGGGGGTGGGCATTTTTTATATCTTTTATCCCGTGGGCACTAAGGGGCCCTCAGGGGCCTGATGGGGTGCCCACAGCATCTTCTGAAAACAGCACAACTCACCAGTGTGCTCAGATGAACTTTTTTTATTGATTCTGATTCCCTTGTTCTTTAATCATTTATTGTGCATTTCCTCATTTTAATCACACAGAGTATTTAAACATTTATAGAGATTTCAAAATGGCAATATCATAAAGAAAATAAGGAGTTAAAATAACAATAAATATATGATTATTGTGTATGAAGAATAGGTTAACACTGATCCTTCCTTCCTTCCTTCCTTCCTTCCTTCCTTCCTTCCTTCCTTCCTTCCTTCCTTCCCAATAAAAGTAAGGTGACCCCTGTTTTATCCTTATCATAAGTTTCTAGTCATGATAAAAATTTGGATTTATCATCTAAACAAAAACTTAGAATAAGTGATGATAAAGATGCAAAAAAAAAAATGGGTGAATTGTGATTTTTCTCCTTTAATTTTTTTCCTTTTATATATATATATATATATATATATATATATATATATATATATATATATATATATATATATACACTGATGTTTATATTTACAGATGTTAGAGAGATGTCTTTTAGGGCATTCCAATTCCATTCCGATTCCAATGCTAAAATAGATAAATCATGCCTAGAAATACAATTTAAATTCTATCCATCCAGAAAAATATGGATATGCTGCATTTTAAATATAGCAAAGCATATTTTTTTTCTTGTAAACTTTCTGGTAAACTTGGAGATATTTTATTGCATGTTGCATATCCCAGTAAATTTGTTTCACCTTTTAAATCTGCAGCTCTCCCTGCTTCTCTCTGTGCTCTGTTTAAAAAGATTTATGAACATCTTTACTAATATAATGATGCCAGAAACAAAATTTCAAGATATGTAGAAGCTCTGCAGTCTGAGTCTGTCTGTTCAATAAGAAAACATTTTAACCTGTAACTGGGAGTCATGGTCATCTAAGAAGGCCAACTTTTTTAAATAATAAAGAAGAACATACTATGTTTTCTCAAGCTTCTTGCATTATAATACTAACTTGTTTAAACTTACAATCTGTTGCCATTTATAGCTGAAAAAGCTCTGTATGTCTAACGAACAGATTTTTCTTATTTTTTTAATCATCCCGCCTCTTAACTTTTACTTAAACATACATCAAAGCAGCTGCCGGTTAATATTCACTGAGTGCTGCTGTGTCCCTTCTCCAAATGCTAATCAAATGTCTCCAAGCAACAGATCCGATGATGTTACACCGAGAGGCGGGTCATGGGAGCAGCAGGAGAGAGGAAAAAAAAAAAACTGACTGAGAACGCTATGAACCCAGTTAGCTGCACCCAACCTCTGTTACCTTTGGCTAAAGTAAAGGAGTGGAAAGTGGGAAAATAACAGAGATTATTGGTAGGGACATGTCCACACCAGTCCATCAGAAAGTTACACCTGTACATATAGGTATGGAGGAGAACTCTAGGAGAACTTTCTGCACAGAGCCTTGTTCGTTGGGAGCAAAATAAGGAGCAAAATAAGATCTGGATCAGTGTCTGACCTCAATTATGCCGTTCTTTAAGAATGGTCAAAACTCCTCTTTAACACACTGATAAACCTTCTTGGTAGCCTAAAGATTGGTCCTAGTGATAGACTGGAGCGGTTTGTGTTTAAGCTTTAACCTCTAGAACCTACTGTGATGTGCTCTGTTTTTAGTGCCTGGAACAGTGCTTCCATGCAGAGGGTAACGGACTTCCTGAGAAGACTCTACACTCTGATGAATATAAGGTGAGAATGTGGACACCAACAACTGATGTCTCCAGTATTACATCATGAAATCATCTTTTCAGACGCTCTACAAATAGCAATGAACAGGCTGTCAAAAGGGGATTTTTCCTCTCCACTGTCACTACAAGCCTTCACATTGCCTTCGAGTCAATGAGTCACTGGAAAAACAATCTATAAACAAGTAAATATTTCTCAAATTAAGTGCATTTGCCCTTAATTTGAGCAGGTATATGAGATGACTTGCCAATAGAATGAGTATTTTTACTCTTAAAATGAGATATCTAAATAAAATGCACTTGAAATCATACAATGAAATTCCCTTTTCTTATTTTAAGTGTAAATTGTTCCATTGGCAAAAACGTCTCTTTTTCCTTCTCAATTCAAGAACAAATGCACTTATTTTAAGAAAAAATGACTTATCTAGATTTTGATTTTGTCCAGTGCAACTGGTTCACAGGAACAACTGACAATAAGTAAACATTTCTTAAATTAAGTGTACTTACCCTTCATTTAAGTAGATAAATGAGAAGTTTGCAATGGAATGAGTATTTTTACTCTTAAAAAGGGTATCTAGATAATATGCACTTGAAACAAGACAATGCAAATGTTTTTATTTTTATTTTAAGTGTAAATTGTTTTATTTCAATTGGCAAAATGTTTCTTTTATCACCTCAATTTCAATTTCTTCCAGTGTTTTCCTTAGATAGAAAACTTTGAATAAATCTGACTGTATGATCTGGTTGAACTGTAAAGTGCCTTGAAATGACATGTGTTTTGAATTGGCGCTATATGAATAAGCTGAATGGAACTGAACTTACATCCCGTTCTCTAATTTCCTTCAACTTGGACAGACTCTGAAGGCGCACCTCACTCACCACTCGCTGACCAGCCACCAGCTCATAGAGAGGTTCTTTAAAAGGAAAATATTGGAGCAGGTGAGGGTATAGACAGTAAGCTGGGTGTTCCTTAGAACTACTGGGAGAGGCTGTCCTCATTCTTTGGTTTTGTTCGGTCTTGGCTGTATTACAGAGCCAGTACAATGGGGAAAAATATGGAGCAGTCACCCTCCTCACAACCTACAGAAGATCTGACCAAAGGCTGCGCGTCGATGTGCTGAATGCAGTCAGCCTCTTACCAATGGATTCTAACGGTAAACCAGAACAATCCCAGCTACTCAGTGGCTTCCAATCACTTCAGACTGATTTACATTTTCCTATATATATATTTATACATTAATTTCTTTATGTGTATAATAGATAGACCAAAACAAAGTCAAAGATAATTATTAGAGTGGAAGTAAATGCTTTTAAAAAAAATGTCTTCCAAATGAAACCTGATGTTTTTTTAATTGTATTCAGGATAATCTAGTCTTCTTCCTGCTGGATGCTGAACTCCAACCATTTGTTTTCAAGAATTTCCCCATGTTTAGCTCTATTTAACATCCCATCAGCTTTGACCCACAGCATGATGATGCCCCCACTATGTTCCACCATATGGGCTAAACTTAGCTTGCTGAATGTTGGCAAATAGTTTCCCTTTTGATCCGATCGGGCCAGAACACCTTCATCGACACGTTTCCTGTGTACTTCGCAATAAAGAACTCTACTCTGTGTTAATATACGATGTAAATTCAGTTGTTCATAATTGGACCAAATGTGGAGAAGTTAACGACGTCATGTTTCGATTCAGGGCTCAGTGATCCATTCGTGCGCCTGTGTCTGGAGCCAAACCACATCTTTCCAGAGATAGAGCCTCGCTGCACCCAGTACAAAAGCTGTGACCTCAATCCCCTTTTTGATGAAACCTTTGAGTTGTGAGTAGCTTCCACAGTTTTCTCAGTTTTACAGAGTCCTCTACATTAATAAGCTCATTGTTTTAGAGCTAAATGGCAGGGAATGGTTTTCTTCTGCTGTAGCCTACAGGATTTGGGATGAGAAGTTGTTTCTCTTTCTGCATTGCAGCCTGGTTTCACTGGAACAGTGCCAGACTCCAGGAGCTTGTTTGGTCATCACAGTTCTGGACCACGACACCTTGAGGCCGGACGACTTTGAGGGCGAGGCCTTCCTGGCCCTGGAGGACGTACCTGGAGTCTCTGAACAGAAAGAAGAGGACCTCAGCAACCAGGCAGACGCTTCATCTATACAAATACGGCTGCCGCTGATGCATCCTAAACCTAATGGTAAGACTCACATCAGTAGGAGTAATGCTAAAGAAATGACTGAATACTTGCTATAGTAGAGCACAATAAGTCAGATGGATCAACAGCAACTCTATTATGGAGTAAGATAACTGTCAATGAAATCGTATTTCTGAATGTCTAAACTTGTAAAAGAAAATCCAATAATATAGGAATAAATTTCAGATTTGTGTTTGTTCTGTGTTGACAACTCATTGATGGACGTGACATCAGGTCTACGTCTGTGAGAATACAAGTTAGAAGGTCACAATAATACAAAATTCACCAGTAAGATTTGTAAATGCAATTCAAAAGTATGAAGTATTCAAAAGTATGATTAAGAAGTCTATGAGTGCATACTTTTAAGTTTATGATTCTAATAGATTTGATTTGTACTTGTAAATTTCTGATTCTTAATCATAGATTTCTGATGTATATTTGCTAATTAACAATTCTTAAAATAATTTTTACTCGTAAAATTATGAATTTTACTTGTAAATTTATTATCTGTATTCATACATTTACTATATCTGCTTGTATAATATTTTTACAATTTTGATTGTTAATATATACGTTATTTGTACTTGTACATTTTTTATTCATAATCAGAAATTTGTGACACTAGTTAATCTGTGATTTGATCTCGTTAACCTTAATCATTTATAAATCTGATTCTTAGTTAACTTTTACTCTTAAATGTATGATTCATATTCCTAAATTTAACACTTTTACTTGTAGAGAATATTATTCCCTGATTTAAAATTCTTACTCGTAAATTTGTTTTTCTAAATTCATGATTCATACTCATAAATGTAAAATTTTTGCTTGTAAATTTTTTGATTTATACTATGAAATTCACGAGTCTTACTCATAAATTTATGACGTGTGCTCATGTTTTATTTAAAATTTTGGAGTCTGGTTTTGATAGCTCTATAAAACAGATCTACAATGTCTCTTTGATCTTCTAAAACAAGTTTCGCTAAAAGAATATTATAAAAGAACATCACAGTAAATAAAGGCCTTGGAAGCAGGATCTGTTAACCGAGCCCAGGAATGAGAGCTAATTAAATTAAGTTCCTTTTCTAATCTCCTAAAGTTCAATTATTTTTAATCTCGTTCTCTAAGCATCTAAGGATTTTTACAAAGTAAAATGTTAATTAGCTGAAACTCTACATGTAGTTTTAACATCTCCCTATGTCTGTCTGCAGAGGACAGCATCCTGAAGTTGCTGGAATCCAGGAAAGGAGAGCGAGAGGCTCAGGCTTTCGTAAAGAAGCGACGCCAACGGGAGAAACAGTCCCAGGAGGCCGCCCAAGTGTGACAAAACGCACAGAGACGAGTTCTTCCTCCAAAAATATACAATTTGTTTTAATGATCAGTACCAAAAAAGAAAGAGAAAAAAAAGAATGCACTCAGAAACACTGGTGTTGCATGAGTTGTGAGCGGACAACATACTGAACATGACCATCACAGTGATCGGAAACACTCACACCCGCATCCAAACATTTACACGCCTCTATGCTTCCCGATGGTTTGTCAAAATCAGTGCAAGAGAAAGATAAGAGCATCACATTTGTATGTGTATACATTTATATATAATATATATGAAATATATAAATTATACACAGTTGAGACTGAAATGTCAAAGATTACAACTGTAGAAATTTGGCAGAGAAAGCTGTCACAGATTGATTTAAAAATAAAAAATAAACTAAAAAGCCTTCTTAAGTGTTCTGAGGTTGATTCGTAGCTAATATAAGGGCTGTAAAAAATAAAATACTACCTTAAAACCAACTGAGTCTGTTAGTTTCATTTTATATCTTCCTATAGATTCTGCAAAAAGGAATATTAGAGGAAAACCTGAGTGAACAAACTCAAAGCCATTGATTACATGTTTGAGCAAATTATAGTTTTTATATTTGAGCATTAGAATTTTTAATAGCTAATCCACGGAAGGGAGGGGGTTAAAAAATAAAAACAGAAACCCAGCTCCTTAAATGGGACTAAATTGAAGTTTTTAAAGAGTGACCTTTTACTACTCCCTGAAATATCATAAAAATCCTCCATCCATCGAGGCAGTTTTAAAACTGACAACACGATCACGACACCATGACGAACACAGCTAACCACGACGAGATTTCCCTGTTGTCTGGGGATTACGACCATAACGTCTTTGGAGTTTTAAGTGCCGAAAAATACTAAGTGGACTTCATTACTCCTCAGAAAATCAGACTATCCAGATGGATGCATGTCACTCTAGGGAAATGTTGCCACTAAAGTGAGATTATACTTTTGAAATATATCATTTAAAACTACCTATGTAAATGCTTCATAGTTAGGGGTCAGAGTAAAATATAACAGCAGGTTATTTTCATAAGTCAAATGCAGGGGAGCAGAACAGTGTTGCTGGTCGTGAGCAGAAACCACCAGAATGTATAGTTTTCCGTGGGTAACACTAGCAACACTATCATGCCTGATTCCACAATAGAAAAAAAAACTAAATTTTTTTTAGTGACTAATTCTCAGTAAGACGGTAATGTTAAAAAGTACAATTCTGGTCTTTTTATGGTGTTGAAATGTGGGTGAGAATCCAAGGCTGGTTGGTGTGGAATCAGGACTGGATGCTGTGGAATCTGTGGCGGCCCCACAGGGCGGTGAGGTCAGGAGCGCTGCTGCTCTGATGTCTGTTCGGGGCACAGCGGGCACTCTGTGGACGTGGAGCAGCTGTCGCACTGCAGCCCGTGGCCACAGGGGAGCGACGCTGAGCCCTGGCCTCCACACGTCACGCAGCACTGTCTCTGTTTCCTGTACACCACCTAATGAACAACAAATCACCGTTTTATTTATAGATTTTTCACCTTAACGTTTAAGATATATTTACAGACGCTGTATTTTTTTCAATAAAGGCCAAATATGGAAATACCTGTTCTACAGCATGTAAACAGTTACAGAGCTGGGCCTGTAAGCTCAGAACCGACTCCAGCGGCAGTCTGTGCAGTAGCTGGAGTTGATGCAGTGCAAGGTGTGGATTATCGCCACTCCGCAGGCTCTCCAGCGCCTCCTGTAGGAGAGAGATCTGCCTTTGTGCCTCCTCCTCAGCCTCCCGTGCCCGTTCTGCTTCCATGGCACACCGCGCTGCGTTTGCTCTGGACTCCTCTGCATCCGCTCTGATTGCAGCCCACGACTAGAACAGAAACCAGCGTGCAACCATTCAGGTTGGTTTGAGGTGGTAAACATGCAGGCGATCGCACAAGAAAAAGAAAACGCTGCCGTCGCTGCTCCTCACGCGCGCTCCTCTACCTACCTACCTGAGCTGTGTGTTTCCAGCTGTGACCCCACTGCTTCAGCGCCCTGTGAGCGTCCTCCAGCTCCTGCTTGAGTCTGGCGGTCTCTGCAGGGGAGGCGGAGGGCACCAGGGCGGGAGGAGTGCCAGGAGAACCCTGACCTGAAGGGAAATGCTCCCAGATATTTGTGCTCATACCATTCAGACCTACAAAATAAAAAAAAACAAACAGTGGAATATAAATATTAGAAGCATAAATAGGGATGGGAATCGAAAACTGGTTCCTGTTCAGAACAGGTTCCGCATGTTCCAATTCGATGGCACCGTTTGGCAGCTCACTTAACGGTTCTCTTAAGGGTTTCAACCAGCCCAGCGCTGGTAAGCGCAAATTACGTCAAGTTTTTAAGTAAGTTACGCACACGGCATTCAGTAAGCAAGTAGGACGTGACCAGGTGCAAGTCTAGAAAAGCAAAATAGAAAAAATGGCGTCCCATCGGGTAAACTGATTGAAAGTTTGGATGTAAAGTGGCAATAACATGCGCAGGGGGAAATCCAACATGCAGAAACACCTGCACACATATGGCATACATTTTAATGAATGCCGTGTTTTTGATGCCTTCCGGACAGAAGCTAAATTTACAACCAGCATGGAAGGCAACTCTGGTGGGAAGTAGCTAGTTTTATATCACTGGCTGTGCTTAATGTGGTTCCTTGTAAATCATATGAGGTTTCTGGAAATAAACCCCTTATCTACCTCTCTTTGGGGTTATTAAACATGCTACAAAGTTGCTACGCAGTTCAGGGAGCGAGATAAAGGTGACCCTCGTTTATTTAAATCAGGGGGAAATAAGTTTATATCCCGCAATTGTACAGTAATGCTTTTTCATTAAACGGATGCCTTCTCTATTAGATTTAAATGACTGTGACGAGACGGGTAGCCTGGCTGGCTCAGAGGCTGGCAGCTCCCGTTTACTGCCTTCTGTTTTCGCCGAGGCAGGCAGAAATAGAATGTCCCAGGCGAAGGTAGACGGATGTCACCGTGCACTTACCAAGTTCTTTGTTTCACAGAATCGATAAGAGAATCGGAATCGTGAAAATCTTATCAATTCCCAACCCCAAGAATAAAGCCTGTAGATTTCCTCTGTAATCTAGTTTTTTGTACCTAAAGAGCTGTGGGATGGTCCGAGGAAGGGGCTTTCTGATAGGCTCGGTTGTGACGGATGAGGAGAGAAGAAAGGTGAGGCCTGTGGCCTGACTGGAGGCGATGGAGAAGGAGAGCTGAAAGGAGCCGAGCTGCTGAACGACCCTGGAATATTAACTGGAGCTGAGCTCTGAATCTGGCTTCCTCCTGCAAAAAAACAGCAAATGAACTAATTAGAAACAAACATATTGCCATTCTGTGTCTATTTTCATCATTTTGCTTCATTCTATCTCTACTCTCCTATTCTGTAGAATCTGTTAGTTCAATCTCTAACGTTAGGCTCTCTGCTTTTTCTCATAGTAGCTTCATCTGGTCTTTTCCTGTTTGGCTGTGACACCATCCTGGAGAGAAATATCAGCTGTGCTGCTGCCATCAACACATTTTTTATAGATGTTTTTCAGTGTAGTCCTTTTTCTCTGACTGTGACTGACTGGATGTGCTCTTTTCATCCTCTGACATGGGAGCTGGCTCGGAGCTCGTCTGCCTGGCTGTGTGTTTCCTGGACGGGGCCGCCTGTGAAGCTGATTCACAGTTGCCTTTTGTATCTCTGCTTCTGTCTCCTTGAACCCCAGTCGGCAGATGTCCGCTCACACTGAGCCTGGTTCTGCTGGAGGTTTCTTTCTGTTTACATGGAGTTTTTCCTCTCCACTGTCGCTACAAGCATGCTTAGTGTGAGGGATTGCATTCGTTGATGTAATTAACTGGTTTTCCTTAGATGGAAAACTATGAATCAATCTGACAGGATGATCTGGTTGAATTCTATATGTACAGTGCCTTTAGATGACGTGTGAATTGATGCTATATAAATAAACTGAATTGAATAGAATTTTGCGGCGATGCTTTAACATACCTAGCATAACCCCCATACTGGGCAGGCCTGAGCTGCTTTCCAGGCTCCTCTCAAGCGCAGAGACCCCAAAGTCATTCAGATCGAGATCATCCAGAGCCGACTCTGTGACAAACCACAACAGCTTGTTTGGATCTTAGTGATATATGTGGATTCTAGTATATATCTACAGCCTAACATACCGACAACCGACTCCACAGTCTCACTGGTGGGGTAGAAAGGCAGGGCGTTGGCGTTCATGCCGGAGGAGATGCTGGAGCCTGGCGGGCCGAGGGTGGCCGGGCTGGGTGGTGTGGCGGCTAGACTGGAGGGGATGCTGGAGGACAGACTCAAAGGGCTGCCGACGGGCAGGAACACCAACAGGTCCTGGAGAGGAAACAGAACAAGTTGATGCTTCTGCAGAAACAAAGAGACACGGTTTTACAGAAGAAGCCCTGGATCCTTGATTGGAGCGTTTTTACCTGTTTGCTCTGCGTTGAAGCAAATTCTCTGCTGCGCTGCTCAAGAGCAAAACCTCTGTGTTTGTTCTGAAATTACATTAAGAAAAAATATAAGCAACACTCCTTCACATTCTCTATATTATAACACTGACAGATGTTTTGTTTGTTTAAGTGACTGATTCCAAGGTCTGGGAACTCTATGGTTTGGTTTGTATTTTTATTTCTTTTTTACTTTGGAATTTTTATTCTATTTTAATTTTAATGAGCTTTTTAGCATTTATTTTAATTTCCCTTATAGTTTTAGTCTTTCATGTAATACGACTTACACACCAGTGGAAAGACTAACAAATTAATAAATACAGAAATAAGATCCCTGATACAGACAGACCACTGAAGCACCTCCTGAGGAGGCTGAGGTCCTTTGGAGTGAGCTGGCCCCTGCTAAAACCTTCTATAACTCCCAGGTGGCATCTGGGCCCCTGGCAGCGCAGAGCAGAACAGAAAGAGACTGAACAAACTGGTGAGAAAGGCCGCTTCTGTCCCGGGCTACACTCTGGACGCAGTGGCTGAGAGGAGGGTGCTGTCCAAGCTCACATCCATCATGGACAACAACTTCCACCCTCTGCACCAGACTGTAGAGGAGCTGAGCAGCTCCTTTTTAGGGAAAGACTTTTACACCACGTTTGTAAAAAGGAGCGCTACAGCAGGTCATTCATCCCAGACTCTACAAAGTGACACTACAACGGCAATAACTTGT